TTACTTCTGAAATTTCTATTTCTGCTTCTAGCAATGCTGTCACTGCCCCTGGTTTACCTCCTGCAAGTACCATAACATATCCTGAGCTCTTCCCCTATGCATCCACCAGTCTCGACACCTCAACCACCATCTTCACCACCTCAGCTCCCTTCGACTATACGTCTGCAAGCTTCACACCGAATGCTACTGTTTCTACTGTTCCTTATTCAGGTAAAAAATATTCTTAATCTACACTTATATAAGACTTAAGTAATTAGAAATCCCTCTAAGGATTACTTTTAAGGAGTTACCAGTTTTCAGCTTTCCCAAAGTTTGACTTTTATTTCATTCATAAAACGAGAAATCATCCTGCTCATGTCTTCACGTTTTCATCGCTGGTGAACGATTACTAAGGTCAAATTCATGCAATTCTTGGCGTGTATAGATGTCCTATGAACAATGTTTTGTAGCCAACTCTAATTATCCTGAAATGATATGATAACTTGCAAAATCCTCCGCTGCTTGCCTTCAGAATTACAAATATATTATAGGAAATGAATAAGTGCCAGCGATCATGTGATACTAAGCTTTGAGGACTTAATGGAAGGGGAAACAGAGAATGATAGTGAGGAAGCGAGTAAGAGAAAATGAGGCTTCAGAAGGGGCACTTATAATTACACAGGAATTTTTCTGAGCAATGTGGAAATGGAAAAGGAAGTGGAAGACAGGACTGAGCAAGAAAGGATGGAAGTAACAAAGTCAAAGTTCCTAGTGGCAAAGGAGAGATTCATATTAAACGTGAAGAAAAAAACAGAAAACGACAAAGGGATCCCCTGATTTAATAAAACATAAGAGACCTAAGAAACAGGCAAGATAGCTTACAAAGCAACTGAATGCAACTCAAAATGCAGAAAACAAACAAACAGGAGGGCTAAAGAGGAGTATACAAAAATATGAAAGGAAGGTGTACGAATAGTTGCCATTGACATAGCATCCAAGGCCAAAACTGAACCAAAGTTACTCCACAGACACGTAAGAAATAAGATGACTTTGAAAAAGAATAATTGATTAGGCTGAGGGAGGAGGAAGGCACGCTGACGGAGACGCTGACGGAGACGCTGACGGAGACGCTGACGGAGACGCTGACGGAGACGCTGACGGAGACGCTGACGGAGAGTGACAGAAAAAATGTGAAGTTATTCACAAAGTATTCGAAGCAATCTTCACCTAGGAAAGTAGAGGAGTAACCAGAAGGCACCTGAGTCGGGATAGATCATGAGGGAGTGCAGAGAATCAACACAGACAACTTCATGAGCCAGCTTCCTTAATTAAAGGCAATACGACCAGACAACAGATCTTCATGTGTGCAAGAAAAGGCAATTCAGCTATATGATCATATAGTGAAGACATTCGACCAATCTGTTCATTAAGGACAGCCGCCAGAAAATTGGAAAAAGGGCATATTTTGTTTCAAAAAATGGCAGACAGGAAACTTTGCTTACTGTTAAAAGCTCTGGATTTACATATGGAAAATCCTGCCTTGCAAATATGTTACAACAAAGTCACAGAGTTAATATAGACATGAGAGAGTTAGTTCACTGCATTTTCATTGATTGTAGAGAGTCATTTGATAAGTACCTTACCAGAGACCAGAGATTAATGCAGAAATTAGAGGAACAATCAAGGTTAAAAGTCAGAGTGATTTACTGGATTAAGAAGCACCTAAATGACACTAAGCAGGTAGTAACAGTAAAGGATGACACATCTTAATGAAAGAGAATAGCAAGTGGGCTTCTGCAAGGATCATTTTAAGGATAATTGTTGTTCTTAATGCGCCAATGTTCTACAGTTTGCTGCCGATGTTATACTAATGAAGGAATCATAGTTGGAATAAGCCACCCTTCTAGTAAGATTAGGAGGACTGGGAATATGCACAGCTTTTCAAACTGCCTTACTAGTTTTCTTATCCTCCTCCGATGGAAAGTCTACCAGAACGTATATGCAATCTAGCAGAAGGGGATAACCCAAATTATACCAGAAACACCACACTATCAGCACAAACAACGAGACCAGGTGCATCTTCAGTTCTTTAACATTATGAAAAAGGCTTCCACAGCCAAGTTAGAAGGTGCAAGCTCTGCCTGTGAGACAGTTTGCCTTTTAGCAGTGAGTGCAGTTCACACTCTTGAATTTCTCATAACAGTTGCCAGGTCTGCGATTGCCACACTTCTTAACCCACAAACCATTTATACTGTGGTGACTATCTACCTTGCTTCCCAGTTTACACCGAGTTCGAGTGCATTTGGGGCAGAGTGTAGTCGAGTAGTGTGGTTTTATTGGTCTGAACTGTTCAGGTACCAAAATTTGACATATTGTACACAAGGAAGTCAACGAGAGCATCAAAAGAAGCCTCACTAAACTTTTGTGTCAAGTCCAGAGTGAAGTTCGATATTCAAACCCCAACACCTGGATGTACCAACCTGTGAAGAATGGTTTTGAAATCCGACAAGTTGAAGAATTGAGACACTTATGCAACATATGGGAAAATTTACTGAAGAAACGTTTCGCCACACAGTGGCTTCATCAGTCCAATACAAAGCAGGAAGATATAAGGAGAGGAGGACTTTGAGGTCATCTGTCCCTCAGCTTGGAATCGATGTGTTCAGTCCATCACTCTTGTAGGAAGGAGTTCTTCACTCTTGTAGGAAGGAGTTCTTCACTCTTGTAGGAGTGATGGACTGAACACATCGATTCCAGGCTAAGGGACTGATTACCTCAAACTTTTCCTCCCCTTATACCTTCCTGCTTTGTATTGAACTGATGAAGCCACTGAGTGGCGAAACATTTCTTCAGTAAAGATTCCCATATGATGCATAAGTGTCTCAATTCTTCAACATGTACCCCGCTACCACCCTGACGAGAATACACCAGATGTGGACCTATACGGGTGTATCTACCCTGATCGACACCTATATAATTAATAGTGCTGATGAGCAAGGGGGGGAGTGCTGCTGATCACAGGGAAGATCACAAACTCAACACGTACTGGGATTCAACCCACCAGTACCATTTCGTCCCAACAGGATCAGAAACCCCAGGCTCCTAGGGAAAACATACCATTGATATCGTTAAGAATATCCATGGCAGTTCAGCTTAACTCACCAATCCGGCTTATTAGGAAACACACACACACACACACTCACATGGAAGGCAAATCTTGTATCACAAACCTCCTGGAGTTTTATGACAAGGTAACAGAAGTAAGACACGAGAGAGAGGGGTGGGTAGATTGCGTTTTCCTAGACTGCAGGAAGGCCTTTGACACAGTTCCCCACAAGAGATTAGTGCAGAAGCTGGAGGATCAGGCGCATGTAAAAGGGAGGGCACTGCAATGGATAAGGGAATACCTGACAGGGAGGCAGCAACGAGTCATGGTACGTGAAGAGGTATCACAGTGGGCGCCTGTTACGAGCGGGGTCCCACAGGGGTCAGTTCTAGGACCAGTGCTATTTTTGATATACGTGAACGACATGATGGAAGGAATAGACTCTGAAGTGTCCCTGTTCGCAGATGACGGGAAGTTGATGAGAAGAATTAAATCGGACGAGGATGAGGCAGGACTGCAAAGAGACCTGGACAGGCTGGACATGTGGTCCAGTAACTGGCTTCTCGAATTCATTCCAGCCAAATGCAAAGTCATAAAGATTGGGGAGGGGCAAAGAAGACCGCAGATAGAGTATAGGCTAGGTGGACAAAGACTACAGACCTCACTCAGGGAGAAAGACCTTGGGGTGACCATAACACCGAGCACATCACCGGAGGCACACATCAACCAAATAACCGCTGCAGCATACGGGCGCCTGGCAAACCTGAGAATAGCGTTCCGATGCCTTAATAAGGAATCGTTCAAGACACTGTACACTGTGTATGTTAGGCCCATACTGGAGTATGCAGTACCAGTCTGGAACCCACACCTGGTCAAGCACGTCAGGAAGTTAGAGAAAGTACAAAGGTTTGCAACAAAGCTAGTCCCAGAGCTCAAGGGAATGTCGTACGAGGAAAGGTTAAGGGAAATCGGACTGACGACACTGGAGGACAGAAGGGTCAGGGGAGACATGATAACGACATACAAGATACTGCGGGGAATAGACAAGGTGGACAGAGATAGGATGTTCCAGAAAGGGGACACAGGGACAAGGGGTCACAACTGGAAGCTGAAGACTCAGACGAGTCACAGGGACGTTAGGAAGTATTTCTTCAGTCATAGAGTTGTCAGTAAGTGGAATAGCCTAGCAAGTGAAGTAGTGGAGGCAGGAACCATACATAGTTTTAAGAAGAGGTATGACAAAGCTCAGGAAGCAGAGAGAGAGAGAGGACCCAGTAGCGATCAGTGAAGAAGCGGGGCCAGGAGCTGAGTCTCGACCCCTGCAACCACAATTAGGTGAGTACAATTAGGTAAGCACACACACACACACACACACACACACACACACACACACACACACACACACACACACACACACACACAAACACACAAATGTAGACTTTTGTTTAAAAAATGGGGACAGACACGAAGCATTAAACTACAGACCAGTGTCACCGACATGTAAGATATGCAAAGTTATGGAGAAGATTATCAGGAGAAGAGTGATGGAACACCTAGAAGGGAATGAGCTTATCTGCGACAGCCAGTGGAAATTTAAGCACTTAAGCAGTATGTGATTATTGACAACGTTTCGCCCACATAGTGGACTTTATCAAGTCACTCACAGATCTACCCAGGTGAAACATACGTGAGTATTTATAGCAGAAAGTTACCACACCTAATGTTCAACAGAAAATCAGACTTACTAGGAAACTCCAAAATCTCTGCTATAATAGTTAGTGGAAAAGTTTAAGAAGACCTGAAATTATTCAGAATCTTTCTTCTCGTCCATTGTCAACCATAGAAACTGAAGCCCTCAGCTTAGGCCTCAAATTCGCAACAGGAATTCCGAAACCGAAACAAGACCTCAATTTCATCGCTAAAAATTACAGACATAATGACTCCGACTTCCAAAAAGGTTTTCTTCAAGGCATCATCTCAGCAGCCATCTCAACACACAGCTCCCCAGTCATACCTCGACGTTGCATCATTGCACTTTAAGCTTTAGCAGAAGACACGACCATCAGGGTCACCATCGCTGATAAAGGAGGTGGTGTTGTTATCATGAACACTGACGATTACAGGA